CCCTGGCCCCTCCCCTCCCCTCCCCCAGCCCCATTCCAGAGCACAGATAAAAGTGAAACCTGAGTAGGGAATGTTTGTGGTGCCACCGCCAATCAAGGGCTCTGTCACCAGGGTAACGGGGACACTTCATCAGCTCAGCAGCAGATGGTCAGTGAGCAACAGGCAGCATATGCTCCGTGAGCCCTGACATGGGCACAGATGGAGGGTGGGCAGCTCGCAGGGAACCTGACGTTTCCTTCGCTGAGCCCATCAGTGCTGCCTGGCGGCCGGGAGATTAGCGGCTGCTCAGCGCCCATGACGGACCCAGGGCTGCTTGGGGCTTTGCTGGACTGCATGCGACCTGACGGCTTCCAGGAGCACAAAGCCAGGCTGGGGCTCTAATGACGTTTCCCCAAGGACCTACCTACCTGCAGGAGAAATCAGACTCTTTTTAATGGGACCAGAGAGCCCAAAGTCTCCTTAGGTGTCTGGGCTGGGGGTGGGGCGGAGAGGTGTTTTTTACTCAAAGCTGAAGCCCAGGGCTGGCTGGGGGTCCCTGGGACGTGTGATCCGAGATTCATCCTCTTGAGGCTGCAGCCTCCTCACTGGTGAATATTCTCTGGATGCCATTAGACCTCTTGAAACAATGCTTGAGCATCAGTGTCCACATGGCCACCCTGCTGGCAGGGAGAGGGCTGGCGGTGACTGGTCATCACCAGCAGTGTATCAGCAGCTGCCTGTTTTGGAGAATTTGCTAAGCCCCAGATCCTGCTGACGCCTCGGGCATGGAGGGCAGGTGTTGCCACAGCCAGCCAGGGCAGGGCTGTGTCGGCCCCCCAGTCCCAGGCAGGCAGCCTCCTGAGGCCTGGTCCACCCCTCTCCTCAGTTCCACCCAGACCCCATTCCTCCGAGGACTGTCCCATTCTGCTGGGGCTGCTTTATCCAGTCCTGGTGGCTGCCCTCAAACTCTGCCTCCAAGTCAACCACCACAGAAGTGACCAGGGAGAGGCCCAACAGTCCTTTCCACAGCAAATAGGGTTAAAGCACAGAAGAGCAGCATCCTGTGGCCAGGGGGCAGCAGGGGCCAGGCGAGGAGCTGCCGGGGTCTCTCTGTGCTTCCTCTCCAGTTACTGTGTTCAGACATCCATCTCATCTCTCCTGGCAAATCCAGGACTGGAACCTGTCCCAGCTCCCCATCCATCTGCAAGGGTCTCCCAGGAAACAGGGTGTGAGCCTGAGCACATGCTACAGGTGAAAACTTAGAGAATGGTGGTATCCCAGGGACCTCAGCCACCCTCTTCATGACCCAGGTCAGTGTTGGTGGGATGGAGCAGAGGGGTCTCAGTCCACCACTGGCTTTGGTCTGAGAGGGTAGGACTGTAGGGGTGCACGCCTCCTCTGCCTGAACCCTGAAAATGGTTTTTATCCCACCTGACTCCTCAGGCACCAACAGTCATTCCATTAATCAGCCGGGCGTCCCATCAGTGTTCCCAATACTAATTATTTACAGTTGCTCGCTGCTCAGAACTCAGTACCTTTGCTTATGATTCTTTTTCGAATTGGGTACTTTCAGTAGCAATAAAATCAAGCACTACCACAGATCTAAATGTGGGTGAGTACAGGCCTGGTCTGCATTCGGTGCTAAAGACTGAACAGATTTCCCTGAGCATTATTCACACATTGAGAACAGACTGCAGAGCCTCTACTGTGTTTCAGTGTCAGCAGGTCCTTCTCTCTGGTCTTTCATGAGGGATGCCACTGCCCTAAAAATCTAGGGACTTGTTCGCTACTGAATCATTCCTGCAAGTCCCTGACCAGACTCAGCTGTGCGATGTGGCCCTGACTTGAGCGCAGGCCTCAGCATGTTCTGGGAGCGCCGGGGACAGTAACTGCTCAGTGAATGTGGAGAGCAGATGCCTGAGCAGGTGCGGGAATCACGTGATGGCTGAGGGCGTCTCTGTTTCAAAATCTGAGTCTCAGGCTGAGTTGAAAGACCAGCCGGGATTAGGTCATAGTGGAAATAATGACATTAAAGTGAAAGCAGGCACCAAGAAAAATGTGTGACTTTGGAAGCTGTTGGAGGGCGTAGGTCCCCGCAGGGCTCACTTCTGTCTGCAGACGAGCAGGGCACTTACCTTCTTTCCTATAGGAAGTCCTTAATGTCACCAGACTGAACCGGACATGGACGAGTAACACCTCTAATCATCTGGGACCTCGTGTCCACGTGGCTCCACATGGACAGAAAGAAATGGAGGTGTCTGCCAATTGCTGCTGGTCTTCATCCCGCTGGACACAAGTTCGCAGTCAGTTTGTAAAGCAGCTCTTGCTCTCAGCTCTGCTTAATGCTGCACAGAGCCCCCGGAGCACTCAGGAGAGAAGCCGGAAAGAAGGGCAGGCATGAGCTTTCACTGAAGAAACAGACACAGCAGCTTGTTGCAGGTCAGGCCCCAGTGTCCCACCAGCATCAAACAAGATCACACACAGCAGGGCCAAGGGGCACTCTAACTTCTAAGGGCAAATGCAGCTGGGGAGCAGGCCAGGCAGGGGAGGGCACCCTGACCCAGCCCCAAAATGGGACATGAAGGCCCAGCTCTGCCCATGGCGGTGGAAACAAGTGAACACAAACAGACCAGCTGCAAGTCGGAGCTGAAATTTCACCACATGGCAAAGTCACACACACACGCCCCTGCACAGGCTCTCCTCTGGCGTTTCTTTCCTCTGTGGCAGTCAGGAAACATGGATGACAACTTATTTTCCTTCCTACATTGTGACAGGTGCTGAAAGGGCTTGAAATTTTAAACAAAAAAAGTTCACAGAATGAAACCACGACCATGCCCAAGCTCTTGAGGTGCCGAGACCTGAAGAGAAAGGTGATTTATTAAATCTGGTCCTCGGTGCTTTAAAACATGTGCTTTGCCTGAGATACAAACACTGCCACTGGCCATCCTTGTTTCCTTTATATTTTCAAGGACACAACACATGGAGTCATTCTTTCCGCAAAACCCAAAAGGCAGAGATAAGGCAGAAGTCCCTCCAAAATCAGTCCCTGTAGAAGATGCTCGTGGAGCAGCAGGCAGCGTGCTGGAAGCAGACACCACACGAGGCTCTGCTGGTTCAAGGGGTGCACGCAGTGGGACTCCCGTCTCCATGGGATGACAGGGACGGGAGGATCCCAGGACAGGACTGTGACTGGTGCCCCAGCAGGGTCTCCTTAGCCTCCCTGTCCCGGCACCACCATCATGCCCAGCTCCCCTTAAGGTAAGGGCACACTGTGTCCCTTCTGTGGCAGGGGCTGCAGCCAGTGCCTGTGCAAAGGCCTCTCCGCAGCCATGGCCGCCAGCCCACAGAGCCACCAGGGACTGGTACCAACACTGTCTGCTCCACGACTCTGCCCTTGTTTCACCTGCACGATGTCTGGGGCTGAGAGCTGCACTGAAAGCTCTAGGCACGAGGAATCTAATGCATGTCTGACGTATTTACGTAACATTAGAGCAGCAGCAGCAAATTGACAGGAACTGCCACTTTTTCCCTGTCAAGTGTACTCGGGACTCACATTCGGGAAACCTTAACGAAAAAACCCACCAACTGAAGATGACACTGGAGGCGTGAGGCAGGGGGTGGCAGCCCCCAACCTGGCCAGGACCTTGCTGCCAGAGCCCACAGGTAACCTTGCTGATCTCACCTGGTACCAAAGATCCCCAGGTTCTTTTCAGGCCTAGAACATGAGTGATGGGTCCAAAGGAGCAGCAGACGCAGAGCAAGCAGTGCTGCTTTCTCACTGGTGGCACACTGACCGTTATGTTCATGGATGTGCACCCCAGACGTGTGCCTGGACCACTGCCACAGCATGGGGGGCCAGACCCAGTCAGGCCCCCTGCAGAATGAGGCAGGAACACACAGCCCCCATGGCCCCGGGTGTGGGCTGAGCAAAGCGGCAGCCATAGACCAGTCGTTTCCACTCACCAGTGGAAAACTCTGACCTCGTGACCAAGGCATTTTTGACAAATTTAAACAAGGAATCCAGCCATAAGAGCCATGTCTACACCAATAACCTTGCCAAAGGCCCTTTATGTCAGGGCTTGGGCACCACTAGGAGGAAACGAGTTGCTGTGGAATCACTTTTTAACCTCAGTGTGATGAGTTCGAGTACCACTGAAAGAGACACGTGTCCGTGGGCTCCATGTGGCTGCAGGTTTCTCTCCAAGATTCTCAGACCAGGCACTATGACGACAGCCCAGCCCTGGGGGATGGAGGTGCCCCTAGCGCACAGGAGGTCGTCTTTCTTCTCTCCCTGAAACACATCCCCATGGTTTCTCCACATCGACAACCATCCTCATCAAAGACAGGCCCTCAATGGGGTGAAGCTGGGGGATGCTCTGGGAACAGCAGGCTGCTCTCATGAGTGGCCTCCTCTGACCACTGTCCATGGGAAGGAGCTGAAACACAGACCGAGTCCAGCTCTACCACACTGGAGCGGGTGGTGTGAGACACATGGCCCTATCATGTGTCCTTAGGTCCGTAAGCAGGCGGGTTGGCTTCATACTCCACACCCAAGTTAAAAGGGTTCTCCTCGCTCTAGCTGTGAGAGGTGGTGACGGTTCCAGAGGAGGGTCAGCTGGACCACCTGGAACACAAGTAATTGATGCTGTCAGTCTGCCCGCACCTGCACCTCCCACTGCCCCTGGAGGACAGCCCCCCCATATGCAGGGGGGCTGAGGAAGCGAGGGGTCTGTCAGCAGCAGCTTCCAGACTGACGTGGTCCAACCTAGGGGTCTGTATATGTGAGTGTGTGTTTGCGTGTGTGTGTAGGGAGTTGTGTAGGGGTGTGTGTGTTGTGTGCAGCTGTATGTGTGGTGTGTGTAGCTCTATGTGGGGTATATGTGAGGGGTGTGTGGAGCTGTATGCGGGGTGTGTGATGGGGGTGTATGTGTGGTGTGCATGCAGCAGCTGACCTGCGGATCTGAACCAGAGGCTGGAGAACATCTCCTGTGAGCATCTGCTGCCTGACTGGCAAGAGCTGGGGTCCTCACCCCGGGGTCTCCTGCCCCCCAGGTCTCCCTTACAGAATGCAGTGCTGTGGTCATCAGTACCGACCTCCTACTTGCTCAACCCAAGGCCACGTTTCCAGCCGTGCTCGCCTGGCCTCCCTCACCAGGCGCTATCAGGCTGACTCGGGGCCTCAGTGCCCAGTGGAAACACTCCACTGCTCTCTTTCCCTTGTATTTCCCACCAAGTCAATGGCTCTAAAATCTTAACCAACATCAGTCAGAACCTCGGGTCATTCCAGGGCATTTCTCTAGTTGTCGTTGTGTTCCCCCTCAAGCCCCCCGGGGAGCTGCTGAAGCTCTTCCTCCACCATCTGCTGTGTCGACTCTTCTCTGGGAAGTGGACCCACCCGACGTAAAGAGTGAAGATCCCCGTGCCAGGACCTCCCCAAGCTCACACCACCAGGGGCACAGTCACGCCTGCTAAGTGAACAAAAACGTCTCACTGACGACCTAGAACTGAGATGTTACTAAGGAACATGATCACCATGAGGGTTGACTTACAGTCTATGGGAGAGAAACTTATTTCAAAGTTGTACAAATGAGCAATAAGATAAAACTTTTAGAGGCAGCAGTGGTCTCAAATTAGCAGAAATGAAAGGAACAAAATTTAAATGGAAAACATCCCTAAGGGGTAAAAAAGGCAACTCAGCAAAGCTGGGAGATCAGGTTGCGGGTCCTACAAGACGTGTGAAAGCAGTTAGAGCTGCTAATGTCTGCAGAGAGGGGTTGCAGGGAGGGGTGAGGCTACTTCACATGTAAGAAATACAAATGCACTGAAGTATCTGGAGACTGCATCCCTTTTTCGATAAATACCAGATGGGGTTTTAAGACCAGACAGCCCGGAGCTATGCATACCTGAGCTGTGCATCACGGGACTCACCGAGTGCAAGCGTACAAGCTGGGCCAGGACCCTGCTAAGGACTATGTTGCTTGGAGGAGGTCTGCCCCTGGGGGGTGTGAGTGAGCATTTCTAGGGGCTGGGGACTGCGTCCAGGAGTGTGGCCAGAGGAGGCTAGGCCATCACCCCAGCTCCCAGGCTTAGGGGGACACCTGCTGTGAGGGCCTGGCTTTCAGCTCCTAACCACCATCAATATTGCAGAGGTCCTCGGACGTAAAATGTCAATTCCTGGATTACCCGGAAATTCTGTCATGCGGAGGACTGCTCTGAACCTGACTCGTTTTAAGCATTTTCTGAAGCTAAAAGCTCATCAGTGCTCACAGGTGAAGAGCAACAGACGTGCCCCTCCTCAGCCAGATCAGGCTCCTGACACTCAACCGTGCCCTCTCCCTCTCTAGGCCTCCTGTGGCCGCCAGGCGCCTGTGCCAAGACGCAGGCCTGTCTGCACACGTACCGCAGCACACTCTGAGCTGCAGTTGGCAGCAATGAAGTGAAAGGGAGGACACCTCACAGCAGACCATGAGCCACCCTGTGCCCAGACCAAGGCAGAGCCCTCCCCCGACTCAGAGCAACATCTCCACCAGAAGGGGAGGAAAGGGGCTACTTCCTTTTCTGTACAACTCTTCAGAGGACACAGAGAAGACAAAGCCAGAGACGTGACCTGTGATAACGCGTGGCTAGGATCTGTAATGAGGACAGACACAGGATGAAGAGCCTGGAGGAAGGGGTACGTGACTGTTGGTGGCCATGGATTACCTCTGAAAACTAGCCACCGAAGCTCTTCACACAGGTGTGAGGAAGCAGCCACTGAAGGATGTTTCCCTTTTTATGAAAAGCAAGGTTTAGACCCCAAAGCCCTGCTCTCCTCCCAGGTAGGATGGCCAGTGGGTCTGAGTACTGGGAAGGAGGGAGACACACAGGGCTTCAGTTCAGACTCTTTATCTGTTCTCTCCACAATTTTTCTGGAGAAAAAAGACTTTTCTTGAAACCCAGTTAGCTTAGGTGCCTGTCAGAAGATCTAACATCTGAGTTATATTAAACTTTGGCACTTGACGTGAAAGTTTATGGTATAAAGACCTGTTTTACTTCAATCTTTGGAAAAACTGACTTACTCTGATGTAGGTGGTGACTTACCCGGAAGACGAGTACCTTCTCCACGGGTCAGGATCATGCTGTCTGTTTCCTGCACCAAACAGATAGGAAACCACAACCAAGAATGAAATTATCTAAAATCCACACAGAAGAAACTGCATGCCTCTACGCAAGCACAATGGATTCCAAGGCAGTGGGGAGCAATGAGCTGGGAGGTAGCACTGAGTAGGAGTGTGTCAGAATGGCTTCTAACTCCAGCTCCCGCTGCCACCTGCACTCGACCTAGACAGCGGAGCTGCCAAGGGTGCTCCGGATGGGGCTTCCCAGGCAGAGGGCCTACAGGGGACATCCTGCCAAGTATGAGAGCAGCAGCAGCAGCGCAGGGTTCTTTCTACTGCTGAGCCCAGGGTTCCCAGTCTAGCCTGGTGCAGCTGGCCACCCTATGCCACCCCCTGAACAGGGCCACCATACAAGTAAAAAAGGTGATCGGTTCCCACATTCAACAAATAATGTTTTCCTCACAAAACCTGTCATGCTTCTGCCTGGTGATGATGCCCACCTTCCAGGCGGTGGGGTATTTGCTGCTCACACCTCTCCCAAGTGTGAGGCTCCCGGGGCCCTGGACCACCCTTGTTATCACAGGTGATCAGAGGCAGTTTTACAGCAGCCCAGCCTCCCACAGAATCACCCTAGAGAAGTGAAAATCTAAGAAATCACAGGCCAGTTGGTAGGTACTGACTATGGAATTTCACCCCTCACTCTCAGCAAGGGAGACATTAAAATGTCCTCCTATTAGCAGCCGGGGAGCAAACTGAAGCTCTGATGTGCACGGAGGCCTCTCTGGGTCCAGGAGAGTGCTTCCCAGGAAGGAAGAGCCAGAGGGGAGGCGTCCCAGATACAGGCCCCGCCCTGGGACTTCCCAACCTTGTGGCCAAAGGTAGACAAAACCCAGCAAAAACTGTGTTGGCCAAGTACAGATGGCATAATTCCATCATGGGGATCAAAACTAAAACAGGGTTGTGGACCTGAAAAACAGGTTCCAAGGCTTCCATGGGCCTTTGTTCTGTCCACCAAGGGGCCTGAGACTGCGCTGGACTGGGTCAGAGAACTAGCCACCAGAATTCACAGAGCCTGCTGGCCTCATGCTACAGTTCTGATTCCACAACCAGCAAACACTAGTGTTTCAAGCAGGACTCAGTCTATACAGTGGGGCCTGGCCGGTGTGGCTCAGTGGTTGAGTGTCGATCTACAAACCAGGTTTCTCTCTCTCTCTCCCTTCCCCTCTCTCTAAAATATATTAAATATATATATACATGTATACACACACACACACATATATATGCATATATATATATTTTTTTTTCCTTTTTTTAAAAGTCTATACAGTTTGGCTCACATATATTTTTAAAGTCTATACAGTTTGGCTCTCCAAAGTGTAAGGAATAAGTTTAAGCATGGACAAAATCTGTCTCTACTTCACTGAGCAATGAACTTAGAGATGCCAGTGCACTTGCCTGTTTGTTCACTAGTAAAACACAACCTGTGTCTAAAGCAGGCAGAGCCCACAGCAGAGTCAGTGCTGACAGGGCACATGCAGCCACGCCTCTTACCTGGGCCTTGGGCTCTCCAGTGTGGTCCTGGGCCCGACCTGCTGTGCCGGAAGCTCGTCCTGTGGGAGCTGGATCCCTGTCTTCCCCACCTCCCTGTGGGGACACGTGTGAGCATGTTAGCAAGCTGGCGGATGCCTAACTCCACTAACAGGTCATGCAAGGACTGGAGCAAGGGTCAGCGGCATTCAAACCCTGGCACCTGGGAGAGCTGGACATGTCCCGGTAACATTAAGGCTCCCAGAATGATATTTGTAAGGCTGAGGCCAAGCAGAAGTAAGGACAGCCTGGTGGGGAGAAAGTTCGGGTGGGTTCTCTTATTTCACCAAGAAAGAAAAAGGGGCAGCTACAGCTACAGGCATGGATTCTAATCAAATGAGGCCATGAAATAATTAACATAATCTCAATGACAAGCTAATAAATAAGACGTGCAGTGTCACTGGTAGACACAGGAGCATCCAGACAATAAGATACACTCTTCCATCTATCAAATCAGTTACAACTTTCCAGAGCTGTGAAGGGGCCACAAGACAGAATCTCCATCACCGCTGGCAGAGGTGTAAAGTGAAAGCATTTTAGGAAACAAATTGGCAACATTTATCCAAAATTCTATAACATTTTGACCTGTAATTCTGTAAACTCTTGTGCTCTGTTCTAAGGAAATGACACACATAAGAGCAATATGCACAATGAGGAAAATGGGAGAACCTTGGAGCTCCAGGTGGGGGACCCCAAGTAGACAGGGTGCCCATGGGGCAGGAGCCAGCATGTCAGCTGTTTTACTATCATGACCACTCACGCTGTTAGTTAAGTGCTGCCCAGAACACCGGGTACAGAACCACTCAAGGAATAACCAGCAAGTAAAGCACAAAAAAGACTGCAAAATTCACTGTCCGTGCACAGCTGTCTTTAGGAGACAGAATGAAAAGTTTTATTTCCTGTTTCATCACTTCCTCTGTACTCTGATTTTTTTGAACATACGTTTATTCTGAGAGAAAAAACAATGTCTGTCAAACACACATCACCCACAGCACCTATGCCTCAGGGGCCCCGGCGAGAGGCTCTGGAGCCAGAGTGGCTCTTAATTGTGAATTCATTAAGGAACCTTCTGAAGAACTTTTTCCTAAAAGAACCAAAATTTAAACGGGTGAGTGACAACCGAGTGTTTCAGTTTTGTTTTTTAAGTGATGCCGTCAGCCTCTGGACTTCTTTCCCGAGACTCTGGACCCACCTGAGTGGTGCGGCTGCCAGAGCTGCCGGCTGACGATGCGCCGGTCCTCCCTCAGGCAGGCCTTGCACACAATGGCCTTCAGCTGGTGGAACCTGGTGACCCGGGACCTCTGCAAAAAGACCAGCGTGAAACATGGTGGGTGCTCGGGGACAGTGCAGGGACGGTCCCCTGGGGATCTGTAACCTGCCTGGCCCTCCTGAGTCCCCAGACAGTAACACTAACAGGTCAGACAGTCACTTCTAAAACACCTGGGTCACCACCAAGAATCTGACCTAAAACTCTGCCTGCAGATATGGTGTAATCTCACATGTGGGAGTGGAGGCAAGGAAGAAACACTTGGCCTCCTAACCCCACTTCACCAAGCATCCTGTCCCGCCTGCCTGTTCTAAATCGAGTGCGTGAACTCAGTCACTGTGCACGTGGCTGAGACGCCAGTCAGAAAGGAGAGACGCATGATCCACGATTCGCAGTGTTCGCTCCTCATCCTCTGTGGGGTAACCACCCAGTAGGAGCCATGTCCCCTCACTGTCCTGCTCTTATCTGCACATAATTCTGGCGGTGTCTAAATTCTGAACTTAAATTCCCATGACATCCTGTTGAGAGAAACGAGTATGACACAAGCATAAAACGTCTCTCGGACATGGGAGCTCAGAGCCTCCCCAACAGGCCATCGAGCCCCCGCACACAGTGGGCAGCAAATGCACTCCAGTGAGCTTCTCCAAGGCCTTGCCTGGAAATCTCCCCACGTAGCAACTGTACTTACGAAGCCAGACAGCAGTCAATGTCCCCAACTAAACTGTCAGCATTTGGGGAATATTTTCAAGTAATAAACTGTCACTGCTCCTGCTGAATTAGTCTGACATCGGCAGAGCCACCTCTGCAGGAAACATCTGTACTTAATTCAAAAAGGCGGAAGGAGCAAAAGCACCTGAAAATTAAGCACATCAGACTGGACAGGACGCTGTTGGCTCTCCCTCCACAGACATCTGGGTCTTGAGCCCAGGAAGTGTTCTGGCAAAAGCTAGCAGCTCTGCTGGCCCTGCAGCCTTGGGCCTGGGCGCAGATCTCTGGCTCCTGAACAACACTGTCAGCGTGCGTTTCTGTGTGAGCTGTCAGAACCTAGGCACCTCTGGGTGCTTCTGGAGCACGTCTGTCTCCACAGTAAAGTGGTGTGAGGGACACAGCTCTTCTGACCTTTCTGACATTCAGCCCAGCACTCGGAGTTCCCATGACCCACTGATTGAAACCTGTTCACTGTCCAGAACATGAACTCGTGTGTGAACCACACATGAACTCACATTTTGCTCCACAAGGGCCTCCACACTGTATCCCTTCTCAGACTGCAGGTACTTCTCATGGAAAAGCTTCCCATCAAAGATGTTCCAGGGCATGAAATCGCTCATCCTCCAGGGGCAGCCACATGCGCTATTAACCAGCAACAGCATGGTCAGGCCGCGGACCAGGAGGGAGCCCAGCTGCACGGCTCTGGGGTCGATGTGATCGAGCTGTGGAGACCAGACACAGAAGGTGAAGAGCACTCCACATTGTGGGGACAGACACCTGAGCCTCTGCACCAGCCGGCTCCGTCCAAAACAGACACTCGCAATGACCACAGCCACTCCAGGGACTGAGGTGTGGAGGCAGGTGACCTGGGGAGAGACTACTCCCCTGCCATCACATGCCAGACCTTCCGCCCAGGCTGCTCTGCTCACAGACACTGAGCTGCAGACCGGAGCAGGCCCTCCCCAGCAAGGCTGAGCCCTTGGGCAGGCTCTGAGGTACACTGTGCTCTGAAAACTTCCTTTAAAAAGGAGCTAGGATCATCATCTTAGGTACCGATGGACTCACTGTGCTAGGAAAATGGCATTCCATTGTTCTAATTGCCAAACTGTCCTAAAACCGAGACCTGCTGGTGTCCTTTGAAGCCTGTTCAACATAAAGCTCTCTCCCTGCTTGAAACAGTGAGGATGTGCTGTGCCAAGCACAGGGTGAGCTCAAGGAAAGGTGACATGGTCACCCCACCGAGGTCATCTGACAGAGCCTGACAGGCACAGAGCACAGACACGTGCACATCACTAAGTGCCAATGAAGGGGGAAAGATCACTATTTTAAACTGGAAAGTTGGCTCTTGAAAAACAACTGACACTAAATGATAGACAGTATTTGTTCTTAGAGATCAGAGTGTCGGCAATTATTTTAGTAACCAGGAATCGAACCACGGTCAGGGCCCAGGTTATGGGCCCAATCCCATGTGGGACATGCAGGAGGCAGCCAATCAACGATTCTCATCATTAATGTTTCTCTCTCTCTCCCTTCCTCTCTCTGAAATTAAAAAATATATATATTTGAATAAAGTCAGCAAGGGCTACAAGAGATCCACCAATGTTCTTGGGTGTCTAGAACATCGAGACAGTAGTAATTATAGGTTTCTCAGAACTGTCACATGGACATGCCAGTCAGCATGCTGCTGCTGCTGCTCAGAGACTTGGGCTACCGTCCGCACCGGCTCCTTCTACAGCTTTGCCGACCTGGCAGTGCTCTGGGTGAGACTGAGAGATGAAGCTACATCACTGCATAATGGAAAAAACAAAACTAAAAAACAAAGGCAGCAGAGGGACGGCCTCGGTCAAGCCAGGGGTCCCTAGAACTGTGACAGTAAATGGTGCCAATACCTGCAAGTCCACAAGCTGCACAGCCGACTTTCCTTGGAGGCACAAGGCCTGAGCAATAAAAGCATGCAGGTCCTCCAGGCACAGGGTGTCCACCTGGAAGGGAGACGGAAAGCCCAGTGTTGGCACCTCTCAGCATGGTAACAACAACTAGGTACAGGGAAACACACAGTGTTCAGATTTCAAGCAGAGACACAGGTGGAGGTGAGCAGGGCCTCTTCTCCCACAGCCCAGGCCACACTGGACAGAGGAGCCTGGTGACTCTCTAGCAGGGCAGAAAGTTCTGGAAGGCTGAGAGGAGTCATGAGCTATGACCAAGTCCGAGTCTTGGAGGATAGAGGTGATCATTTTGGCACAAATTTCTGAGCTGGCAGTCCAGGGGTTTTCAGACGCCCTACATCTGGCCTGAGTGACCAGGGCTGGGATAAGAACCCACCCTCACCAGGCCCAGGCAAAGCTTGTACCCCTGAATCCCATTTTAAAGGAAACCAGGATCCCCAAAGTATGAGTCCTTGCCAATCCTCTGTGGAATGAAAAGATCTAATGAGGGTGAGAGGGAGAAATCAGGAGAGGCAGAGACACGGAGGAGCGAGCGGGG